TTTATCCACCCAGTATATCAGCATAAGAGTGACCGGGAAAGTATCTGGTGATTGACTTTTCCCATTCTAACGTTATGCACAAAGACACTGTCTGGATTGTGGTGAACGAGAAAAGGTTAGTTTGAACGATTCTGAGATTAGGCCATTTCGTCTATTCTTCCTAATATTCTCCTTTTAAGCCTTTAACCTCTAATTGAATTTAAACTTTAAATTTTTAAGATAAGATAATGAAAACTCACAGCAACTTGATTCTCTGGAAAGTATAACAGAATAATTTGTTAAATGATATCTCCTCAAGATAATTGTTGTGCTATTTAAAATGGCCTGGACAACTATTGATAATTGGCTTAAAAATATCATTAAGTCATCTGATATACTACATCAACTTGTTAGACTATTTAAATTGACTTGAATCAATTTGTGCGAAGCTTATCCTAGAAAAATCTTGCAATTGGATTTCCATTACTAATTGACTTAATTAATACAAATTGAATTGATCATTTTAGTGGTAAGTTAAGGAATGTGAACAGAAGATGGATTGTTTATGATGATGGGTTAACACTACAAAGTGAGAAAGCAAACGTTGGGAATAGTTTTACATCAATTTTCAATAGATCAAAGAGATGCCTTGAATAAAATTTTGGATAAAAATGCCCTTTCGCTATTACATTGTTATAACATTGAGTCTTTAGCTGCCCTAGTCTGCATTAAATCTAAAAAATCAAACTTGCCGATGAAAAATTAAAAAAGGTGATGGATATATGAATGATAATTTACCTCGTAAGTATTCATAATTTACATGCATAATGTACTCACAATGTTAGGAGATAATCTTGTTATTTGTAAGTCAGTTAATTAGAGTTGAAAAATATAATAAATCCAAGAGACCCAATAAATCAAAAAAGCTTTACTTTATTGTATGAATTTACGTTCCAAACAAAGGTTGATCGAGTGTGTTGATACAAATCCAAAAGTAAAAGTTTTAAGGGCACAAGATTCCTTTTGGTATTCCGCAGATTTGCTTTTACAATCAATGATTCGACCGATTGATTTCCATCTCTCAGTGCTGGCATTGAAACAGAAAATATCTTTTGTGATCTTATCAATCAAAATAACTCTATCATCATTAGCTTGCTTGGATGTTAAAATTAAGTTATCGAATTTCAATTTTTCTTTAAATCTTTGAAGTTCAATCTTTTTAAACACGAGATTACGATCAATGTCGAACTGGAAAAACTCGAGTTTATCTGTCAGCATATAAATTTTTTTATCCAAAATAGTTGCCAGGTAAGTATGTCCATTGCATTTGAATTGAGAATTAATATCTGAAATAGATGGATTCTCCCAACATCCCAACTGGTATAGTTCATTACGAACAAGAATAAACTTTTCGTTAGCATCGAGAAGTGAACCCTCATAAGTAAGATTTCTATCTACGGAATATAATTGAGTCTTTGTCGACACAAAAGGATTCTCACTGAAATGTAACAAAAATTAAATAAATAGTATTAGTTTTCAGAGTTATGAAGTAAAAGAAGCTTCTTGTTAGTTTGTACAGTAACCCATCCTAGAAACGATATGCACCAATAGATACATGTAAAGTACTTATTCATATTTTTTTAGTTTCTCCATTGCAATGTATCCACAAGAATGCAAGCAAATGGGTAATTCAGAAAGGCAAATAAGTTAATTTAAAAAATCGATTACTCACCTTTCTTGCTCTTCAAACAAACAGATGCAAGGCATTGATTCATCTGATTGAATAACTTGGTTAATCATGGCACAAATCATCATCAGTACTTTGACTCGCAAATTTTCGTCAACCAATTC